AGGTGCAAGAGGAGGGCTGGACTTGAGGGCAGAGGCAGTGTTTGCCCTGGGGGTTGTGACTTGAATACCCACGGAGGGTCTGTCTTAGCAGTGTCCCAAAAAAAGAATAAAACTAAGATTGTAAATCAGCATCTAGTCCCCAAACAAAAAAATGCACCCATGATTGAGTATAAAATTAAAATGATAAATGCCCTTGAAGAGGGTTCTTGGCCACAGCCTGAGGTGAGTGAACATGGGGCCTGCTGCGGCAGCGGCAAGCTGTGGTCTTATGTGGTTATTTCAGTGATTGCACATGCGTTGTCTAAGTCAAGGTCTCTGTCCAGCAGAAAGGGGAGGCTTGGCGAGGGGTTCCTTGGTGACTGAGAGGCCCCTGTGTGTAGCCAAGCTGGAGGGGAGGCTGGGCTCTTGCTGGAAAGGGCAGACACACCTGTACTTGGGGAAGTGTACTGGTTTCCTTTCTCACTTGATTTCTGACCTGACGCTTCTCAATCATGTCTAGCCCTTTTTGATCATTGACTCATTTTAAAGGTGGTTCTGGTTCAGGTGGACTTTTGTGTGTGACCTGGCAAGGGCTCTACTTAGTGCAGGCTTTTCCAGTCAGAACCATCCTCTCTGTTTTTAAAAACCTCTACCCAGAGGAAGTGATCGCTGAGGCCTGCTGTTTATCTTTTAGAATGTGAATCAGAATGGTAGTGTTTTGCTAACAGAATTGAATCTGATTAGGAAAGGTCTCACAGAATGCTCTCTCCAGTCTTATTGGCTTCTTGTTGACTGTTAAAGTTCTTTCTTTCCTTCCTTTTTCTTTTCTTTTCCTTTTTTTTTAAGGAATATATTGACTCCTATATATTTTAGGATTTTTAGTCAGTGACTTTGATTTTGATCCCTTTAAGTACTATTTTTGCTGTTTTACCTTGTTTATTAGAAACTACCATTAATTTACTTGCCATGGATGGAAAATCAACCATCTTTGGCAGGTAGAAGATGATATGTATCATGTTCATTATATTCCTCGTGCTGCCCTGGGGAGGGGCATGCTCCCTTCCAGGCATTTTCACCAGTGAGGGCGGGTTTCCTTCGGTGGCATTTTAAGAACCCGACAGGCCTCGTCGTGTTACAGACCTTTGTGACTAGAGAGTTACATATTAGATCCACTTTATAAATTTTTCTGGCTGACATGTAGCTGTGGGGCTTTGGCATATAATTTTTTTGGTATAGATTTTAAAGCATGCTGACTATCCAGGCATGTTGTACCTTTAAGGAATGACTGAGGTGTGGGGTGAGGGTTGCTCAGCTGCAGGCAGGGACTTGGCTCCTTATTCCAAGTTGACACAGGGAGGGCACAACCCAGGCTCTCCCCAGCCCACTCTCTATGGAATGGCCACTGCTGAGGGACACAGTTGGGACAAAGTTGGGTTGATAGGACATTTTAGAGACTCATTTTACCCATGATCAGGGCCGACTTTGAATCTGGAGCCGTAGCTGCATGGCCGATGCTGTGTCCATGGCCGTTTGGCTCTCACTGGTGCCTTCTGGGGCTGTGGGGTGACACAGAAGCACCCAGGTTAGGAGATGAAGCACAAAGATGGTGTGTGAGCTGGAGATCTGTGTGTTCTCAATGACTCAGACCTAGCCCTAGAATTTAGGGGCAGCTAGGACGGTTCTAGTCTATGTCATCTTGAAGGGCCACTTTAATAAAAGTTATTCTGAACTGTAGTATTTTAGGTGATGAATGACTGATTTAAAAATTATTTTAATTCCACTCTTAATATTTCACTGTGATGTTAACTTGGAGGACCTGTCTGAGATTAGTCTTTTTGATTTTAAGCTCATTAAATCTGCTGAGCACAGGATATTTATCATGTGTAAATCCAAAATACTGTGTGAAAGTACTTACAGTTATTTCTTCCTTTACAAAAGCGTAACTTAAACATGAAAATAATGTTGGTTTATAGAAATATTTATTGTTCAAGGTCTGTAATTGTATTTCAAAAACGATGTGGTATTCAACTTGTGAAGGGATTTGTTTTGTCAAAAATTTTTACAATCACTGTGTATACCACCATCCCAGGCATAGGGGCCCTTTCCCATCACAGCAGAGAGGACTGGGATCTGCATAAGTCACCCTAAATGGCTACACTGTTTCTAGAAGTTGGTTCAAATATGTTCACTAGGTTACCATGTGTTCATTAATATCCTCTTGAAAAATTCCTGTGATACATGTTAAGGAGACAGCCTTCCCTGCCCATAAAGTCATGTATTTCTAAGGCAAATAGGCAATTTGATTCTATCACATACTGAGTGGGGAGTAGAGGAAGTATTTTCAGACTCAAGAAAACTTTGAAAAGTCAGGAACTAAGCTGCTTGGAGATCTGTGCTGCCAGCGTGGCTTTGGTGAATTCGGGAAGCGCCGGGAAAGTTCTTGACAGAGTCTGTGTCCGTTCAGTTACTACATTGTTCTTTTTCCAAATGCATCCTACTGGATATGGAATAGACCGTAGATGTCGTAGACTGAGATTTGGGACTGTGTTGGGACCATTCAGGTGAATGTGTCGCTTTCCCAAACGGCGTCTCCGAGTGAGTACGGTCAGCTGGTGCACGTGGAGCCTGCGGCTGGAGCGAGGCGTGCTGGTGTGGCGCCCTGCGCACCTGGCTCTTCGTGCAGGCGGTTTGCTGAGCACAGAGCCGTTGGAGCCCTCCGACTGTGTGCTAGGTGTCTGTCCGGTCGCTGGGAAGGGGTTTGCTGGGATGCAAGTCGCGATCTCCTGCAATGTGTGTCATGGACTGTAATATTGTAAGGTCTGTACTCTGTATGTGTATCTCAGACCCCGATCAGGAAACAAGCCTCATGTGTGTCTTTAACATTTATATTTCCATTCAAAATATGTATTCAGTGTTTATTTCCTCAAAACAGACTTTGTTAATTTAGGAAATATCTCCAAGTGGAAACGTGCTAACTTTTTCTGTAAATCTTAAATAAAAGGTGCTGTTCCTTTCTTCGACCCAGGACTGGTCTGTGTTTTCTGTCTTTCTCTCCATGCAGTTTTTCTTTTTTTTTTTTTTTCTTTTTTCTTTTAAAGCTTTCAGTTTGTTCCAGCTGCATTGAGGGAAGAGCATGGGTTGGTGGGTCGGGCACTGGGCGCTCTTCCCTGAGCCCATGTTGAAGGCCCTTCTTTGGGTCTTGGTCCCTCCGTGATGGGTCAGCCTTGGGCTGCTTGTTGAGTGGGGCCGGGCTAGGAGGGGTGTGGCTGCTCTTTCTGCCCCCCTGTGTCCCCCTGCATCCCCCAGCGCCCAGCAGTGTCCTGCCTCAGAGTGCTCAGCAACACCCCCCTCCCCTGGCCCATCTGTGACTCCGGATCCCATGGACGTGTTAAAATTGGGGTTTGGATGCAGAGTTGTTTTTCAAATTGCCTTCTTTCTGGACGTTAAATGTTAAAGAAGTAGGAGGTGAGCTGATAGGGAGGGGCTCCCTCTGGCCAGCCTGGGGGAAGTCTTGCCATGCGAGGCCCCTGTAACCTAGTGTATATTCACACTGCTCTTTCCGTCTTCCTGGAAAAGGTGAGGAAATGGAGTCTAAGAGGCTGCTTGCTCCGAAGACTTTGTTGTTAAGGGACATGTCAGGCGTAGAGCAGCGAGGCTGGAACGGTGGGCCAGTGAACCTGTTGCCCCTGCTACACACACCAGTCAGAGCTGCACGCCCCTCCCAGACTGGCCCGCTCGCACCAGCTCTAAGTCTGTGTTCATTGGGTGTTTTTCTTCCACTGCTCCCTGTAACCTCAGGGACTCTGGAAGATGTTCATTGATAAGACCCTGGAATTGGGTGGATTGGCTGGTGGGGTTTGTTCTGTTTTGTTTTGTTTAAGTGTGGCCCGACCTTAATTTCTAGCTTTGTGTTCATTGGCAAACAGCAGGCCTATAGCATGATCACTTGTTGCGATTATCAAGGTGTATACGAAATGTAGTTTATACTTTTGCTGTGTTGAAAAATTCAGTTTTCAACATTCATTAACCAAATCAAATAAACACTAAATGTGTTTTTAGGTGTTTTTTTTTAATTTGAATTTGGTATATGAGAAAGTTTTCTAACTAAAGATTTATTTCTACATAGAGATTTATTATTGCTGCTCAAATTCAGGCAAAGTGTTGTGTGCCATGAGGAGGGAGAGGGTTAGCCTGAGCAGGATGATCTCTGATGATGAAGGAGATAGATGAAATCCGACCAGGAAGGTAGCGGGGTGGGAGTGAGGGGTCCTTCGATTTGCTCAAAGATTCCACATTTTTCTCCCAGGCTTTTCTCTTAGACTCACATGTTAACAGAGTCGGCAGGGTTTATTTTGCTTTTTCCCACTTAACCCTCCAGGGAGAATAGGCAATGGGAGGAAGATGAGAACAGAACGGTCAGTTAGTTACAAGTGTGATGCTTCTTGAGCACTGACATTGGGTCAGCACTCTGGCACACAGACACGCTTCCAGAACAGCCCACAGGCTCTACAGCAGCAGCAGGGAGTCAGCAAGACCACCGTACAAAGGCTCACCCTTTGATGCTGCACTTTGGTGCTTTAAAAAACTCATTAGGTATTTTTTTTTAAACTCATTAGGTATTAATCTGTATCTTCTACTTTAAAATAGTTGGACCTTAAGAGATTGGGTAAGAAAGGTTAAGATTCTTTAGTCCCAAAGCCCATGTTAGGTCACATACTTGAGCCAGTTGGGTTTTTGTAAAGTTCCTTCCTCTGTTGGGAACACAGAGAGATACGAAATTTTGTGCCTCTTCTAGAGAAATGTAACTAAATATCAAGGAGGGTAAAGTCCATTTCTGAATTTCTACACAGTTCAGGCGACAAGTTATGCTGTCACAAGAAACAGTACCGTACTTTTGTGACAAGTAGCTGGCATTGGGGCCGGGTGCTGAGAAGGCCTGTGTGTGAGGTGACATGGGGGGGCCGCGTGATGCCACCACGCTCTGCGACTAGTGAACTGTCGTCCGCCTCCTCCATCTCCAGGTGTCAGATGGCCCAGGAGACGAGCCCTTGGAGTCCCCGTATGAGAGTGCAGATGAAACTCAGACCGAAGTGTCCATCTCGTCTAAGAAGTCTGAGCGAGGAGTAACTGCCAAAAAGGAGTACGTGTGTCAGGTGAGGGGAAGGCGGTCATTGAATTTGTCCCTTGTCCCTGTCCCAGGCCACATCATCACTATTCCCTCAGACCGCACCTGGCATCACACTGATTTTTATTTTGAAGGCATTGGATTGCCAGCAGAAACCAGATTAGGTGCCTTGCTGAGGGTCCTGCGTCCTTCTGCAGGCTCCGTCTCTTATGTCACATCCGTCCCATGTAACCTATAGCCATGCTTGTATGTGCACACTTCTTGAAGCGTCTGAAGTTGGGTGTGTTGCCACCAGCACCGTGGCCAGTGGTGGCACAGCAGGTGGCAAGAGCCCAGTCCATGTCCTGTGGGGGCCTAGATGAGTTTGATTTGCGGTGGAAATGTGTATACATTTTCTTGATCTTTGCATCTGATTCTAACCCTCCTGAGTGTGTCCTTCTGGGTTTTGGTGCCAAGTGTTGCTTTACCACTGTCCCCTCTCTGCCCTACAGCTGTGTGAGAAGACGGGCAGTCTTGTGCTCTGTGAGGGCCCCTGCTGTGGAGCTTTTCACCTTGCTTGCCTTGGCCTTTCCCGGAGGCCAGAAGGGAGGTTCACTTGCAGCGAATGTGCTTCAGGCAAGTTCTGGTGTGGCTTTGAAACCATACTTCCTGAGACAGGCAGCTCTGTGAGCATCTGAGGCCCCTGTGCAGAGGATGTTGGCCTGCCTTCACAAGCGCGTCCTGATGTGTGCATTTGTTAGAGACCTGAGACCCTGGTGGAGGACACTGCCTCCCTGCCAGTCTTGTGCCTCACTCCCCGTGGGCTGGCCTGAGCCCTGCTCTGCCCATGAGGCGGTTGGCATGGGGTGCCACAGTACCAGAGGGCCTGGCATTACTAGGACAGGTAACCTAGTCAGTCACAGAACACTGAGGTTCACAGGACTTCTTTAGAGACACTGCGTGAACCTGAGCAGAAAGAATAGCTCCATGCTGGTGACTGAGTGGCCATCGGATCTCACCAGCACCGTGTGGGGGCTGCTGGGAAGACATTTCACTCGGATGCAGCTCCTCCTGTCAATGGTCAGACCTGAGGGTGTCCTGGCTGTTGGGGGAGCATGTCCTAGGTTAGCAAGACACCTGGAATCTTCCAGAGAGTTCCTCCAACCCCAGGCCAAGGTCATCTGATGCAACAGCACCTCATTTCTAGAGGCATCCACCTGCCTGTGATGATAAGTTGTTCCTCACTATACTTGGTTAGCTGCCCTCCAGAGGAAGAGGAAAAGCCTTTCCGGGGCAATGCTTTCTTTCAAGCCTGCAGCTAATACGAGTGGGCATCCCTACCTAGGCTGCCTCCTCCTCAGGCTTATCCTCTGGGGGAAGCTGGAGCCCAGTTCACAGCAAGGTAACCCTTGGCTGGACTAGTCAGCAAGGTCAGAAATTGAACCAAGGCCTTCACGCTCTGGCTGCCTCTGACAGAGCTGCTGGACTTTAATGGCTGAGGAGCAACTTTGTAATTCTTGTTCTCTGCCCCTTTCTGTTACTGATTGTTAGGGATTCACTCATGTTTTGTGTGTAAGGAGAGCAAGACAGATGTGAAGCGCTGTGTCGTATCGCAGTGTGGGAAGTTTTACCATGAAGCTTGCGTGAGGAAGTACCCTCTGGCTGTGTTTGAGAGCCGGGGCTTCCGCTGCCCCCTCCACAGCTGCGTGAGCTGCCATGCTTCCAATCCTTCCAACCCAAGACCATCGAAAGGTACAGGCGCGGCCCTGGAGCTCCACTCGGGCTCAGTTGCACTCATGCGGGAGGGGCAGTGTGGCAGCCAGCTTGGTTGTCTTTCTGTTACTGAGGTCATGCATGCTGGGTGAGGGTTTTTCTTGACAGAGGATCTGCCCTGCCCTGCATTTTCCCTTCTTCCTGCCCTAAATGGCATTAAAAAAAAATTAGTTGAGAGCACAAAGGGGAAGTGAGAGGGGGAGAGGGAGAAGCAGGCTCCCTGATGAGCAGAGAGCCCATCTTGGAGCTCCATCCCAGGACCCTAAAATCATGAACTTAGCAAAGGCAGATGCTCCACGGACTGGGCCACCCAGGTGCCCACCTAATAAATGTCATCTTAAAGCCTCTTAATTTTAGGAGGGGGACACCTTTGAACCATTTTGATAGATTCTATTCTGGTTTTAATACTCTTTCATATATAAGAAAAATACTTTAAAATTAAGTTGTTTCATGTTGGGTGTGTAGGATTGGGGATGGCAGGTTATCTACACTTCCTGACCCTGGTGGTTATCAACCAAGGGTGACTTTGTCCTTGAGGGAACATTTGGCCGTGTCTGGGGATACCTCGGGGGCGTCTGCTGGCATTTTAGAGAGCCAGAGATGCTGCTGAACATGCCAGCAGCACCCAGGTTCACAAACTCTTAGTTAAGACCCTGTTTCACAGTAATGTTTTAAGCAGTTGGCTGTTTTCTTAAACATTATTTTGAGGCATCTTTGCCTTGAGGAAATGTGTTTTTGTGACATGTATTAAATATTTTTCCAACCCTAGTTATTATTTTATTTTATTTTTTAATTTTGAGAGCGAGAGAGCATGAGTGGGGGAGAGGGTGAAGGAAAGGGAGAAGCAGATTCCTTCAGAGCAGAGTGCCCGATGTGGGGCTCCATGCCAGGACCCTGAGTTCACAACCTGAGCTAAAGGCAAACGCTTCACCCACTGAGCCACCCAGGCTCCCTTATCTAGTTTTTTTTTTTCTTTCATCAAATACTTCATTTATTTCAGCATTAATTTTGTAACGTGTAGGGGCTTGGTCGTTTCAAGTTGCCCTGTTCACTGTTGGGCCTTCCACAGCTCTGCCTTCAGGTAAAATGTGTGTCTCTGCCTTTAGGTAAAATGATGCGATGTGTCCGCTGCCCTGTCGCCTATCATGGAGGGGATGCTTGTCTGGCAGCTGGCTGCTCGGTGATAGCTTCCAACAGCATCATCTGCACGGGCCATTTCACTGCTCGCAAGGGGAAGAGACATCATGCTCATGTCAATGTGAGCTGGTGTTTTGTGTGCTCCAAAGGTGAGGGCCGTGCTGCCGGTGGGTGTTTAACAGTGTTATTCTGTTGGATCAGTTTGAATGGTGAGGGAGCCCTGCTTCTCATGGCTTCTTAGCACACAGCTCTTGCAGGTAACCCCAGGGGCCACAGTGGAGGGTGGGCTCCAGTGTTCTTCCAGCTTTGGGTGTTGACACTCAGGATGTCTCCTGGGTTGTCACATGCAGTGTCACCATGATGTTTCTGAATTAACTGTGACAAGTGCACAGACTTAGGGGAAGTTAGTCATGTTGGCACTAAAGTGGGCTTTTTTTTTTTAAAGAAGATTTATCTATTTTAGAGAGCACGAGCTGGCAGGGGGGTGGGGTGGGTGCAGAGGGAGAGGGAGGAGCAGACAATCTGCTGAGCAGGGAGCCCACCATGGGGCTCAATCCCATGACCCACGAGATCATGACCTGAGCCAAAATCCAGAGTCGGAGATGTCACCTACTGAGCCAGCCAGGCGCCCCAAAAGGTTCTTTTGAGCTTGTTGCCAGCTGGCTGCTGTTTCGCTGGTGCATTGGCATGAGGTGAGGAGCCAACCATGGGGCCGTCTGAGCCAGCTCGCCTCCCTTGCAGGGGGAAGCCTCCTATGCTGCGAGTCCTGCCCGGCTGCCTTCCACCCCGACTGCCTGAACATCGACATGCCTGATGGCAGCTGGTTCTGCAATGACTGCCGGGCAGGGAAGAGGCTGCACTTCCAGGACATCATCTGGGTGAAGCTCGGCAACTACAGGTGCGAGAAGTCAAGCCCTGAGCCTGCCCGCCTCCGCGTTCACATGTGTTCTTTTCACTTTGCAGGACTGAAAGCGCTGAATGGTTGTCACTCTGTCTGAAGAGTCTGTGAATCCTGTTTTTAATATTTATAATAGATGGTGGCCGGCAGAAGTTTGCCATCCCAAAAATGTCCCCCCAAATATTCAGAACCTGAAGCACGAGATTGGAGAGTTCCCTGTGTTTTTCTTTGGGTCTAAAGATTATTACTGGACGCATCAGGCGCGAGTGTTCCCGTACATGGAGGGGGACCGGGGCAGCCGCTACCAGGGGGTCAGAGGGATCGGAAGAGTCTTCAAAAACGGTACGGACATTTCCCAATGCATGAAAACCATTCTTGGAAGTGGGGGGCCTTCAGCTAATCCATGATCTGAGCTGTACCTCCAATTAGAGAACGGTTCACAGATTGAGGCACAAGTTAAAAGACACTGTGTAGTAACCTTTATTAAAACATCAGTTTGTGATTAATTTCTCTAAAATGCATTGAAACTTGTGTGAAGAAGTTAGTTTTAGTGATGATCTATAGAAATTTCTCAGCGCTTGCCTTTATATATGATGGAGATGTAGACCAGGTGCCCCACAAAGTGCCAGGTGTGGGAAGGTAGATAGGCGTCCACCCTGACTTCACAGCCCAGGTGTGAGACAGAGAGGGACAAGAACAGTGTCATCCAGGTGACAGGATGGGAAGGCGAGTGCTTCGCTGGAGGAGGTGGCATTTACTCTGGGCCATGAGTGAGTGGGACAGAAGGGAGACTCGGTGCATGCCTGGTGAGTCCAAGGAAAGCAGGCCTACCCCAGCAGGTCTTACACAGGAGGCTTGGTGGGCTGCCCTGGGCCACGGGGTCTGCCGTCTCCTCTCCTGGGGATCCTCACACACAGGTCTGAGGACAAAGGGGAGGCATCAGAACAGGATCCATACGTGGCATTAAATGAGATAGATGTTGAAGTTGATAAGCAGCTCAGCACGTCTGTTGTTGGAGGCAGTTAGAGAGTGTGATGTCAGGGTCTCACCTTCTCCTAACTTGCTCCTGGGGTCCTGAGGTCAGGTGGCCCCAGTGCACATAATGTCCTCCAGGTAGACCTCAGTGGTTGTTTCCTCTGCTCTCACTGAGCCTAGTACTCACTCTGCAGGGCCCATGTGCTCCCTGAGAGGAGCAAAATTCCATGTTCATTTTCTATCTTAAGACAGTATGTTCCCAGGACTGATGCCCGATTCTGTGCATCAGATCCCAGTGGAGGGTGGGGAGCTATAGCACCATTCATCCAGAGAAACCTGTCCTGGGGCCTGCCTCGTGGCCAGGTGGTGCCAACACAGCACTGCCCAGGGCTTTCCAGCTGGGCGTGCTCCGAGCACCATTCCCCAGACAGCGAGTGTGCTGCATGGTCTCTCATAACCCCCTAATCCGTGGACACTGGATATCACACATAGCAGTGAGGTGGAGGTCCGCGGTCAGCCACTGAGACGCAGAGCTTGAATTTACCAAAACCACTTACTCACACTCACATCCTATTGACTTTTTAGCACTGCAGGAAGCTGAAGCTCGATTTCGTGAAATCAAACTTCAAAGGGAAGCCAGAGAAACGCAGGAGAATGAGCGCAAGCCCCCGCCGTACAAGCATATCAAGGTGATGTGCAGATAGCTTAGGTATCACAAAAGGGGACTGTGGGTGGTTCTTGGCGTCAGTTTTGGGGCCCTGGCCTAGACAGCTGCCTGAGGAGTCACAGGCTGAGAGCAGGTGCTGCTACTGCCGTACATGTGTCCTTTTACGGGAGGGTGACTGGGTGCATGGCTGGGCGGGGGGTGGCTTTTGTGTGTGGAGTTTCACTTTTGCTTTCGTGAGGCCCAACCTGATAGCCAGCGAGGGGCTAGAAGAACCATCCTGGCCAGGCTGCCTGGAGCCAGAGGGGCTGAGGGCAGGCCATCCTCCTGGACCACACCGTCACCATGTGCTGGGGACGAGCTTGGATGACAGGTGGTCAGCCCAGGGCTGGTGTTCCACCGAGAGGTGGCTTGGACAGCTGGAGCCCTGGAGACAACATGGTCTTCCCAACTCAGAGGGTGTATCCACCCAGGAAGGATGAACGTGGCCTCTGTGCTGTCTGCCGGGAGCCCAGGCACACATGTCCCCACCCTCTGGGAACAGGTGTAGCCAGGGTCTGGCTCTGGGAGATGAGGGGTGCTCCTCCCAGCACTGCACATGGCACCAATCATGTTGCCTCCTGACATGTGTGTCTGCCTGCTGGCTGCTAGGGGGCTGTGTCTCTGCTCCTAAGATCTGGGCTGCAGGCCCTGTTGTGTAAAGGAAGCACTCTCTGTAGTGATCTCTGCTTAGCATTTTCTCTGGTGAATTAACAGAAACAGAGCTACTGGGTCAAAGCTTGGGACTTGTAGTTTTTTTTTTTTTTTCTTTTTTAAGATTGATTTACTTCTCTGAGGGAGAGAGCGTGTGTGCACGTGTGAGTAGGGGTAAGGGCAGAGGGAGGAGGAGAGGCTCGTGTAGCGCCCGAGACCGTGACCTGAGCCAAAATCAAGAGTTGAGTGTCCAACAGACTGAGCCCTCAGCTGCCCTGTAGGACCTTTAGATCCTTTTTTTTTTTTTAAGATTTTATTTATTTATTCATGATAGTCACAGAGAAAGAGAGAGAGAGGCAGAGACACAGGAGGAGGGAGAAGCAGGCTCCATGCAGGGAGCCCGACGCAGGATTCGATCCCGGGTCTCCAGGATCACGCCCTGGGCCAAATGCAGGCGCTAAACCGCTGCACCACCCAGGGATGCCACCTTTAGATCCTTAAGTCATATTTTCGCCTTGCTCTTTGGTGTTGTACTGCCTGTCACCCTGCAGCAGGGCACATTTCCTCTTGAATTACTAGTTTCTGCTTCAGTTTCTCTTCTCTTCTCTTCTCTCTGTGGCTTTTTTGTTGGGATGCTCTCATCTCATCCTTACAAACAGTGAGTTTCAAGGGCAGAGACTGTGTCCTTGTGCTCACAGCCACCTCCCTGGTCACCTTCCTATAGCCCCTAGGGTCCAGGCACTCTGCATTGTGCTCAATGCTTGCTTGGGTTTCTGTCTTACAGCAGCCTGGCTTGAGAAGGGTCTTCTGTCTTGTAAATGAGGAGCATGGAATAGGGGTGGGATGAGGGCTGTATAACAGCTTACCTTCTAGAGCTCCCAAGTCAGAGGCTGGCCTTTGCTGCAGGTGCACCTGTGGAATGTGCCCCCTGCCATCCCTGATGGGCCTCTGAAGCTCAAAGACCATCAGGAGGCGGGGCCAGTGGGGACAGGGCCTCAGATACTTATTCTGTTTGATGTACCCCCTGATAAGATGCCAACTTTCTCCCTTGCAGGTGAATAAGCCTTATGGGAAAGTCCAGATCTATACAGCTGATATTTCTGAAATCCCAAAGTGCAACTGTAAGCCCACAGATGAGAATCCATGTGGCTTTGATTCGGAGTGTTTGAACAGGATGCTGATGTTTGAGTGCCACCCGCAGGTGTGTCCTGCAGGCGAGTACTGCCAGAACCAATGTTTCACCAAGCGCCAATACCCCGAGACCAAGATCATCAAGACAGATGGCAAAGGTTGGGGCCTGGTGGCCAAGCGGGACATCAGAAAGGTGTGTGTTGTGCCCTGTCCCTTGCTTGTAAGAAATTATGGTTCATGTGATGGGTTAAACTTGGATTTGCCTATTGTGCTTCTGTACTCATGAAAGAATATTTTTTTAAAAAAAGTTTTTTGAGTTATTGTAATTGAATATTATGAAATGAAATGTAAAATGAAATATTATAAAATGTTACTTGAAAGCTGTCTATCAAAAAAAAGAAAGCTGTCTATCAAAGTAAAACTCATAAATCCCCTTACAACATACCTGCAGTTGGCATTTTGGTGGTTACTTTAGGACATGAAAAACTGAAGGAGCCCTTCCCTGGATAAGTGGACGGGACACTTGGGGTCACAAGTGGGTAGGAGGAGGCCATTCTGCCTGGGGCAAGGCAGGGCCAGGTCGTCAGGTAATGCTAGAGGCTGTGTAAGCCCACCTGCTCTGTCCTCAGACTGAGCAACCAGGGACATCCATTAAGTAGGGAACAACTGGAATTGCTTGTTGTGCCCCTGTCTTGCCAGGCCAGCCCATGGCCTCAGGGCAGTGGCCTCAGACCCTAGATCTGGCATAGGCCTGGTCCTGGGCAACAGAGACTACTCTGAAATATACAAACCCCCTGCTTGCCTTGGCAGGACTTTTGTGTGGACTCTGCTAGGAAAGAGGAGGCGCTGCAGTGGCAAGTCCTCCTGAAGCTTGAGGTCTCACTATGGCGTTCCCTGAGGCAGTTTACTGCAGGAAGCAAGAGTTAGGGTGTTGCTGCTTTGGGAAGGACACTTGGATAAGCTCTTTCTTGGCACCTGGGATTTTGTCCAGAGTCATATGAGCTCATTCAGAAGTAACTGGGCCTTTGAAAGACCCGCCCCTGGCAGTGATGGTGCAGGGGGGCACCTGGCTCTGATTGCTTTGAGTGTGGGCTCCTGAGTACTGGAACGGAGAGCTGGCTAGTCTGTTCCTTGTCCTCATCATGGTCTTCTGGTTTCCAGGGAGAATTTGTGAACGAGTATGTTGGAGAGCTGATTGACGAGGAAGAGTGCATGGCGAGAATCAAATATGCCCATGAGAACGACATCACTCACTTCTATATGCTCACCATAGACAAGGTAGTGCTGAGAATCTTCACCGGCTATGTTTGCAGGACCCCTAGGCTTTACCCAGAACAGCGGGCCTTGTCTTGTGGGGATAACGTTTTGTCCACATGTTGCTTTTTTCCAAATGTTTGTAAATTGTTTTCTAAAGTATAGTGTCTTCTGGCAGCTGCCTGGAGGCCAGGGCTGGTTGTCTGCAAGAGAGCATCCTGGGAGCTTCAGGTGTCCCACATGTGTGTGAAGAGTGTGCTAAATAGTCTGACTAAGGGCCAGTGGGTGAAAAGCACAGATTAGGAGAGTTACACAGGTTTTAGTTACCTGGCGGGGCTTCCTGGTGGTTCCTGCTTGTCTGAAGCCCAGATGTGTAAACAGCCCAGAACACAGGTTTGCTAGAGGGAGGGTGGATAAGATGGCTTGTTTACAAGTGGAGGGGATTGGGAGAACGTGCATGCGGGCCCATTACAGTTGGTGGCTGGTGCCTGATGGGGGTGGGCCCTTTCCATGGCACCTATGCAGAGGACTGCTCTGACCCCAGGGGCAGCCTCCTTGGCTCCTGAATGCTTCTTGAGGGGAGGGCAGATGCAATGCATGTTTCTGCTGCTGCTTGCCCACAATCTCAAAATCTAGCAGGAAGATGGCTGGTTTTAAGAATCCTTGAAAACAAGATAGAAAATGGTCACCTGCCAAACGATCTGAATAATTCGTGGAAGACAGGTGATGTGATGAGCTCTGGAGAGCTGCCTGTTGTTCAGAGTAGGACAGTCCTAGAGACCTCACAGTTTTGTCCCCAGGGAGGCTGTGTCCCCAGGAGCACTGGCCTCATTGGTTGCAACTTGACCAGTCATGAGACCAAGGAGACTAAGGAGGCATCAGGGCCACTGTGTGCTTCAGCTGGGAAGCTGGCCAGAATGGTGAGGACATTCCTGCCATGGACACACAGCTGCTCCTGATGTTGTTTCTCAGGGCCTGATGGTGAATGCCTATATAGGTTGCTCCTTGTGAAGAGAAAGTGCGGACACGTTTAGGGTTCAAGCATCTGAGGCTGGTAACTGGCAGAAGGAAGGAGTGTGTGTGTGTGCTGTGCACACAAATGTCTGAGCACACGCACATCTGTGTAACAGATGACAGGGCAAACGTGAAGGTATTAATAGTCGTGTATCTAAAGGGTGTACTGTCGTTTGTGGTCATAGTATTCCATTTAAAATAAAAGAATTGGTTAGAAAGCGAGGATCGGGGTTTGGCACTTGCCTTAGGCCTAGGGCGTGATCCTGGGGTCCCGGGATCAAGTCCTGCATCGGGATCCCTGCATGGAGCCTGCTTCTCTCTCTGCCTGTGTCTCTGCCTCTTTCTGTGTGTCTTTCATGAATAAATAAATAAAATCTTAAAAAGAAAGAAAGGCGAGGGTCCTGGACTAGAGGGGAGGCCACTTTCCCTCCGTTGACCTTGTTGGGAGCACAGGGCCTCTGGAGCTCTGTCCACATAGGCTTCTGTAGGAGGCGGCCCTGGCAGACCCCAAGGCTGGTATGTGGGAATCCGTAGCATGAAATGAACAGAAAACCAGGAGAAACCAGCCGTTGATGAAGGAGAACTGTCTGTCCAGCCTCCTTGAAACTCTCACAACACCGTGTAGGATGGCAGGTGAGGGGCAGAGTGCTCTGCCCTGCTGGGGCTACATCTATGGAGGCAGGAGTCAGCACGTGCAGCTCCCAGGGAGGAGCCTTTGTGTGGGGACCACTGCCAAGCCTGGGGCCATGGTGCCCAGGTGGACCCCCCGGTGGCTGTCATCCCAGAGGGCAGCAGATGTGTGCTTCCCTTTGCTGTCTCCTTCCCTTTGGTCAAAAGGGAGGTCATTTTATTAGAAACTAAACCTCTAGGCCTGTGTCTTACCATGTTTTGGATTCTAAATTTAAACTACTTGCGTGTTGTAAGAAATGCCAAATTGACCATTTAACACACAAATCAGTCCCTAAAATGGTAATTCACTGAGGGCACCTGACCAAAGCAGGGATAAAGCCTGTGACCCATGAGGGACATGTGAATGTTCATACCTTGTTTCCTTGCTATAAAAACAACACAGAGAAGCCTGACCTCAGTGTTCACAAAGCACACAGGAGCAGGGTCTCCCTAAGGAGAACCTTCAGAAAGTCAGCTTTTGGTGAGAACCAGAAGTAGTAGAACTTACATAGGAAAGGAAGTAAGTGTGCCAGAAGTGGTAGAAGCCATTACCAGAGACGTGGGGATCCTGAGAGGAGCAGGATGTGAACAGGAACCACTCACACTGAGAGCTGGACGGGTAACTGTGGAAATAAACCCAGAAGGTGGCTGAGGAGGTGCTAGGCAGCTGCAGGGGACACTGTGGACCATGGCACGGGAGGAAGAAAAGGTGAAAACTTGGTAATAGTGGCCAGGGGACGTGGAAGTTAGGGATGGATGTTCAGTGTATGCTCCAGAAGCAAAGACTGGGTAATGGGCAGAAGGACATATGAAATAGGATTTTCTAGAATCTGATGAAATCCAAGTTTTGAACAGAATGAATACAAATAAATCTATACCTAGATACATTATTTAAAAAACCCCAAACTTGTGAGGTATCAAAGATAACAAAGATTGAAAGCCCAAGAGAGGGATCCCTGGGTGGCGCAGCGGTTTAGCGCCTGCCTTTGGCCCAGGGCGTGATCCTGGAGACCCGGGATCGAGTCCCACATCGGGCTCCTGGTGCATGGAGCCTGCTTCTCCCTCTGCCTATGTCTCTGCCTCTCTCTCTCTCTCTGTGTGACTATCATAAATAAATAAAAAATTAAAAAAAAAAAAAAGAAAGCCCAAGAGAGAAGAGCACGTTTCAGGGAGCAGCAGTCCCAGGGTCATGCAGCCAGTTAGGCATTTGGCTCTTGATTTCTGTTCAGGCCACGATCTCGGGGTCATGAGATCCAGCCCCCCATCGGGCTCCATACTCAGCTGGGCATCTGCTGGAGGCTCTCCTTGCTCTCTCCCCCCTCCCCATGCCAATGTGTGCACGTGCTCCCACTCAAATAAGATCTTTAAAAAATTTTTTTTGAAAAAAATAACCACAAGGGTGTTTTGTTTTTCTTTTTTAAACTACAAGGTTTTAAGAGTACTAGGAAATAAGAAACATGGCAAGGGCTAGTCCAGAGAAGGCTGCTCTTGATACGTTAATGCCAAGTAAGGTAGACTTTGAAAAGCATCATGGAAGGGCTACAGGGAGCCCCTGTGTGGTGGCAAACATGAACCCCCAGGCCTGCACACTGTAGCAGGGGCCCTGGGGACGCAGCACTGGGCATGAGCTCCATGTGTATCCTTGGAGAGATCTTCAGAGTATTCATGAAGAAAAAAAACACAAGACAAGATCTGCGGTGCAGCAACATAAATCTACACAAATTAAAATAAAAAATCTACACATAAGATTTTGGTAGGAGAGGGTGGCCATTCACTTCCAAAGCAGCAACAACACGTGTACATAGTACATCTTCATTGGACCTTAGGACAGACAGACCCATCAGTCTAAAATGGCCTCTGTCAAGAAAGCAGAGAAAGAACCTGCCCAGGAGCGGTGCCTGCCACCAGCAGGACTGAGTTTCTAAGGGGAACGGTGGGGACGGGAGGCATGGGGGCTCCTAGGTGATAGGTCTAGGGACGCCCCTCAGGCTGGCAACAGAGAAGGAGACCTGAGGCAGGTGGTGGCCAGGAGACCAGGCAGCCTGCCCTCTGCAAGTCCAGCTGCTGGCTGCTGTGGACCCCTCAGTGCACTCCAAGCGGGGAGAGAGAGACAGAGGGAGCAGCAGGGCTGTCAGGGCAGTGTCGCCACAAAGCAGATTGAAGTTCTACCCGGCGTTCAGCATGGATCGTGAAGGGTGAGGAGCTGGAGGTGGCCAGACAGGACAGTGGGCAGAGCCAAGTCAGGGACTTGGAGGGCTTGGGATGGGACAGAAGGAGATGCAGGTGTCTGCTGGGCAGAGCGTCTGCTGCGAGGAGCACCTGGAAGAATAGGAAGCAGAGCCGCAGACACAGGACAGACATGAGGATTGAGGAGGAAGGACAAGGAAAGATGGTATGCGGAGCAGGCCGGAGAGAGTCTTCTCCGTGGCTGCAGCCCGGAGACAAGCCTGCCCCCCACTGATGTTAAGAAAGACAATGACCTCGTTTTTCAGGGAAATCATCCAGAATGGCCAACATAGTAAATATTAGGTTAAAATTACAGGCGTGACAGGATCCTTTGCTAGCCCAACCTAAACGTTAGATTGCTCATGAGGGGAGAGAACAAGGCTGCAGCACAGAGGGTTAGCAGCAGCACGCTTTTCAGGACAGAGGAAAACAGAGACACTGCAGTGAGCTGAGTGGGTGTCAGGTATGACGGCTGTGGGGTGAGAGGCTCGTGCAAGACAGCTGGGAGCTGGCCCTCCTGAGGAGACTGCGGAGGACGAGCTCCAGCTGCTGGCCCAGGTAAAGCTCTGGCCACAGGATGGGGTGGGGACAAATGGCAGAGCGATCTTGGGAGGTCATTCCCGACAGGAGCAAAGACGGGCTAGGGAAGGGCGGCCAAGGGCACCTCTGATGGCTGAGGGTCAGAACTGATGAGTCCAGTGATGCTGGTCAAAGCTTGTCTAGGAGTGAAGGTGGGTGAGCAGTAAGGGGATGGCACTGATGCTGGGACGAGGGATGGGGAACCAGCTCTTCTCCCATTGGCTATAGCGGTGGGCCTGTGGGTGCTGCGGGAATGGGGGCGATCTAAATGCCAGGGTGTTGGGGATCCCTGGGTGGCTCAGCCGTTTAGCGCCTGTCTTCGGCTCAGGCGTGATCCTGGAGTCCGAGGATCGAGTCCCACATCAGGCTCCCTGCATGGAGCCTGCTTCTCCTTCTGCCTGTGTTTCTGCCTCTCTCTCTCTGTGTCTATCATGAATAAATAAATAAATGCATGCATGCCAAAGTGTTTATGAGGGTGGCCAGGAGGAGGTGAAACACAAAGTTCTCAACATGACAAGAAAATGAAAATGAAACTCCATCATTAGAATGGACTGACCGGTGAGAACTGTGCCCAGCGTACCATTCTGTGTTGCAATGCGTGATTCCCTGCTCTCCATAAGTAACCGGAAGACTCAGAGGCTGAATGTAGAACTGTGGGCAGAGGCACCAGGGGAGGTTCTCATTGAGTGAGGGTGGACCCCACCCTGCTGCATCCCAGGAGGCCAGGGGAGCCCCGAGGGCCTGTGTCCTGGGCAGACACGCGTGCTCTGGAAGAGCAGCACAGCCAGTGAGGATGGAAGTGAAGTCAAATCAGACCCTCAGAATTGAGCAGACTGTGGAGCTTGTGAGCAAGTCACTGTGTCCAGACACACAGGTGGTGGCCTGAACTTTTCAGAACCCCCCCCCCCACAGCTGGATCCCCCCCTCCCCCGCGCAGTAGAGCAGGACCGGGCATGCCCATGATGAGGCAGGTGCCATCTGCGCGGCACACCTAAGAGGTGCCCTGTGGCTCAGTCCAAGACCAAGGAGAGGAAGACCCACCAACAGTTAGTGGCTTAGCGAGTGCGAAGGATCCCTCGAGGAAATGAAGACGTGCTTCTGACGAGATGATTAGGGGACAGAAGAGAAGGCCTTCCTCCCTGTTTGATGAAGGCTATGAGAAGGCCCAAGTGAGGCTCAGGAGGTACATGAGACGCTTGCTGCTGCTGCTGCTGCTTTTGGGGGTGGCACAGGGAGGTCATGCGCACTGGGGTCTGGTGCCCCCACACCCACAAATACTGAGAACATGCAGATTTGCGCTCCAAAGTTCACGCAGAGGGCTACATCTGCAAGACTAACGGGGGTGTGTTAGCAGCGATGCAGGGCGGCTGCATCCTGCCAGCTGTCAGGGGCTCACTATTGGCCTTCCCATGAATAGGGTGGCACCATCCCTGGCATGTGGCAGGGTGGCAGGCGAAGGGTGTCCCCTTGCCTGCATTCACCAAAGTAGAGCAGTTGGGAGTTACAGCATGTTGGAGTATGTGGGGGGGGGGGGGCTGGATCAGGCTAGCAAGAAGCCCTGAGTATATAAAAAATAAGAGCCATGTAACACGGGAGGCTCTGAGAGAAGATTCTATAAAATTGAAAATCAGTGTTTGTAAGAAAGATCTTGACACATAGTCACCGAGGCTCAGGTACCCAGAATACATACGTACAAAGAAGAGCTGGGCCATCCCCAAGGCAGATGCACACATGCCTAGGGACCGGGGCTGCCCTGCTGCTGGCTTGCCTCGCAGGGTGTGTTCTGGAAAGTGTGTGTGGGAACAGGCACTGGTGCATGAGGGGGCAGATAGTGCCCCTGGGATGATCATGAGAAACATGACGCGGTGGTCAGTGGGGCTCTTACTGGGTGGGCAAGGTGTGCTGAGGGGCAGGCCTGTTCTGCTACCGGTTCTCTGTAAAGGAACAGCAGTGTGGGTGAAATGAAGCAGGATGTCTACAAGCCAGCGGGACCCTGGGGGGCATCGTCGCTGGGCATCTGCTCCTGAGGCCGCAGAAGAGACACAGTAGCTTGTGTGTTTGCACAAACTCGCGACTCTCATCTTTTCTGTGCCTGATTTCAAGTGCCATCCTGCCTGCTGGCATGTTTCTTACCTCTACTGCTCCCCGTGGTTGTGGGGTCCACCCACTGACTCTCCCCCCACTCTCCCCGTGGCTGGACGTCAGGTGGGTTTGTATGTCTGTGCCTCTGTCGGGTCACTTTCTTGACACTGTCCCTGTTGCCCTGGGACAGCCCCTGTGTGTCGGCTGATGACTGACGGTGGACGATCCTTCTCAGTTTAAGGTCGAATGGCATCGTTGGGAGTTTGCGCCTTGTTATCTCTGTAGGGATGTGGATGCCTTCCCGGAGGCTCGTCTGGCTTTGAGTTTTAGGGGCTGCTTTGTTTTTGTTCCTTGTCCATTACCGTGCACTCCCACTGGCCATCCATGTTGATCTCTGGGCTCCCCTGCCTGTCATCTGTCGGGTGGCATTGGCCTGTGCCAGATGGCTGTCCTCCTCACCCACACTCGCTGGGGCCTGGTCCTCTCCATGTGGTCCTGACCTACCCCCCGCGAGGGAGAGAAACAGAGCTGGTTTGGGGGTGTTCCACCCTAGTGGACATGGGAGACCACGGTTTCCAGCACAACACTCGACCAATGGGTCTGATGGGGAAAATCCTTTTTATAAGGACACGATACTTGGTGCTGCCACATGTGTAAATGTGGCTTAAAACCAGAGTTGTGCCTTACAGGACCGGATCATCGATGCGGGCCCCAAAGGAAACTATTCCCGCTTTATGAACCATAGCTGCCAGCCCAACTGTGAGACCCTTAAATGGACAGTGAACGGTGACACTCGTGTGGGCCTGTTTGCTGTGTGTGACATTCCTGCAGGTACGACATGTGCAGGGGCAGGCGCGGGCAGGTGTGGCGGTCATGGAGGCTCTGGGAGGCCGGGCTGGCAGAGGGGAGCCGGGACTGGGCAGTGAAGGAGGGACGCGTGTTCTATGGGTGGCGATCTCACCCCTGGAAGATGGTTGGTATGTCTCGTGCATGTGTCTTTCATAACCCAGGGACGGAGCTGACCTTTAACTACAACCTGGACTGTCTGGGGAACGAGAAGACGGTCTGTCGGTGTGGTGCCTCCAACTGCAGCGGGTTCCTTGGGGACCGACCAAAGGTAAGTCGTACTCCATCCTCCCTGCTGACACCAGCAGTGGTGATAAGCAACGTCCCCCAAGTTGACTTGTCACTGTGGTAGGTAGCGTGGGCAAGGGTGGCTACCTTGCGGGTGGCTACCTTGCGGGTGGCAGGGAGGCCAGAGTCCCCTGTCAGAGTGCCACAGGCTGAACCGTGAGCAGAACTTCTTGAGGCCGGAAACCCAGAACTAGGGTGTGGTCTAGGCTGCACTCCCTCCCAAGCTCTTCCAGCCCCTGCTGGCTTCCGGCAGTCCGTGGTGTCCTTCAGCCCGTCAGCACTGTCCTCTCTGTCGTGATCTTCATGGGTCCATTTCCTGCTTCTGTGTCTTCCCCTTCTAAGGACCCCAGGCATGTGGGATTCAGGGCCCCCTGCCCCAGGGTGGCTTCTCCTGACTTAACAATGAGTCAGGTCCCATTCTGAGATTCTGGGAAGGTTATGTCCCATGAATGTGGGACAGTCTCCCTGCCTCCCCGTGCCGTGTGCAGCATGGGCCCTGGGGCGCCGCAGATCACAGGCTGTGGCCCGAGAGGGAGTGTCTGTGTTGGATCTGTTGCTTCCACCAGAGAAGAGTTTTCTCCCATTCATGACAGAATCCTTCCTAGGAGGACCAAGGATGTCCCCCCGAGTGGGGGCCGGAGCCACTCTGTGGCCTGTGCATCCCGTCAGCCGACCTGGGGGTGTGGACCCGCTGGCCAAGATGAGCTGCCGCTGCAGGAGGCTTTCAGCAGAGTGGGCTTCACTTTCTGGGCCTGCCTGTCTTCCATGTAGCAAGGCGGCTGGCCCTGGCCCTGTGCCCTGTCCCCTGCCCCACCCCTCGCCGCCCCTGCACTTCTGCTTTGGCTCCTTGGAGTTTATTACTGCCCATCCACGTGGCTCCCTGCAGCAGCCTGCCTCTGCTTCTTCCGTCTAGACCTCAGCATCCCTGTCTTCAGATGAAAAGGGCAAGAAGACCAAGAAGAGAACCCGCAGGCGGAGAACCAGGGGTGAAGGAAAGAAGGAGTCTGAGGATGAGTGTTTCCGCTGTGGGGACGGCGGCCAGCTGGTGCTGTGTGACCGCAAGTCCTGCACCAAGGCCTACCACCTGTCGTGCCTGGGCCTGGGCAAGCGGCCCTTCGGTGGGTGAGCGGGCCCCCTGGCGGCCTTGGGGGGGGGTCCCCATCCCAGGCTCTCCTCTCCCTCTCTCAGCCTGGGGAGGCCCACGGCATTGACAGTCATGGGGCCGGGGAGGCAACCCCACAAGTGGAGGCCATGTCAGGGCCAGTGGCGAGGGAGGAGGGGACAGGCAGCGGGGTCTGCCTGGTGCTTCCAGCCTCGGTTCAGGAAGATTACGGGTGCCAGAGATACCATCCCCTGTGGTCTGAGAGGAAAAATAGACCTTTGCCCAGAGCAGTCGAAAAGCTGTAAAAGAAAAGGTCTAACATGTTTGAGTGTAAGAGAAAAATAATTACGTGCAGATGACAAAGCACAATTTCATAGACAAACAGGAGAGAAACCTGTTTGCAGGAGGCGTGAACATGACCTCTACAGTTAAGGCCAGTAGACCCTGGGTCCAGGCCACAGCGAGGTCACAGAAGAGAAGCCAGCATCTGCTGGCCACCCAGAGAGCCACCTCATCCTGCACGGGGTGGAGGCCGGGGACTTGGGATGCAGGTGCCCTCTGCCAGGCCCACCCACCAGGCCTCTGAGTGCCCGTCCTCCCTCCTCTTCATGTTTTTGCAGCTCAATAGGCAGCAATGCCTTGTCTTAATTTGTGTCCATCTCGCTGGACAGTTTTAAAATAGGTTCTCAACCGCGAAGATGTTAAAAGTAGTTACAGTTTTCGTCATTTCTGCTAATTTGTTTTGTTGCAGGGAAGTGGGAATGTCCTTGGCATCACTGTGACGTGTGTGGCAAGCCTTCCACTTCATTTTGCCACTTTTGCCCTAATTCATTTTGCAAGGAACACCAGGATGGGACAGCCTTCAGCTCCACCCAGGATGGGCGGTCGTACTGCTACGAGCATGACTTGGGGGCAGAGTCGGCTCGAAGCACCAAGACTGAGAAACCCTTCCCGGAACCCATGAAGTCCAAGGGGAAGAGGAAGAAAAGGAGGTGCTGGAGGAGAGTCACGGAAGGCAAATAGCGCCAGGCAGCGGCTTGGCCAGATCCAGGGGTAAAGGGCCACAGAGGGGACTGGCCCGAGGACCCAGCTCGAAGCCGCTATGCCAGCCGCCTAGGCCTCCTGGGGGGGAGCGCCGTCCACCACTGAGCCATCCTCAGCAGCGCCCGCTGCGTCTGCACTGACGACCCATCTGAGCCACAAGGTTCAGAAGGTTCCTGGACAAACAAGCCTTACTCCACAGCATTACAGCTACACTTGAATTTCTGAGAATGTCAAGGTCCCCTCCCACTCTATTTTTGTAGGTTAAAGTTATAATTGAAAATTAATTGGCATATGAAATGTTTTTATCTCACCCGAAATGTAGAGTAGTATTTTTCTAAAGGATCACTATTATCTCTTTAATCTTCACAATGTTACTCGGCCTGCTTACCTGTCTTCATCACTCAGGAGAGACCAGGATGGGGCCTGGCCTGGGCAAGGGCTCAGACCCTGGATTCCCTGGAAACCATGATTTTGATCATTATTTTGCTCATATGAAACAGCTGTATGATTTTTTTTTTTTTTTTGTACTAATGTGAAATTTTTCCTCAAAATGCTTCTTTTCCATCCTGGTGAGAAGCCGGCCCCAGGAGCGGTGATAGTGATAGTGTTGTTGTAAGATTCCCCCGTAGTTTGTTCTGTCATGGATCTGGACTGAGCGGCGCCATCGCGTCACGTCCCACGTGTGGGGTCGCGAGCATAGTCTCTCCCGACCAGGCCGGGTCTGGCACATCTCACCTGGGCCTGTCTCCTGAACGCACTAGGTCCTTACCAACATTTGGGGAAGACTTTGTATATTTTTTTCATTTGGCTTTTACCAGTTTCTGGCTTTTATTCTCAATATATTTTTGCTAAACTTGTTTCACAAATTACCACCGACTGAAATGTGTATTTACTGATGCGGCCCCAAGTTGTCCCTGAGAAAGGAGTGGTGCTCGGTGGGGGTGAGGCCCTTTGGGGGCTGTGTTCTGCCCTGGGGCACAGCTTGTGCTGGGTACTCCCCACCCTGGGGCCCAGGGCATTTCTGAGAAATGTTCTTTAGGGGTCTGAGGAGAGGCCCAGAGTTTAGAACTCTTCCATCCAGTTACTGACGTTCTGTCACGCTTGTGGGTCCGTTCATGGAGAACATGTTCGGCTGGGACACCACGGAGAAGCGCGTGCCGGGGCTCCAGGCCTGCCCAGCACCACCTGCACGCACACCAGTGGGTGGCGCCCGTCCTGGAGTTTCCCTGAGATGCCCACTAACTCTTATTTATTCCCACAAAGTGAGAAGCTTCTGGGAATATGAAGTTGTCTTCTCTTCTTGAAGTTCCTCTTGACCTTGACCATGGGGCGACCGGAGCGCGGCAAGGGCGGGGGTCCTGCCAGGCACCTGTGTGCATTCTGTGGGGCCTGCAGTCTCCATGCTCACAATGGGAGGGAAGGGAATCCTCAGCAGCAGATGCTTTTTTCTGGCCCTTTCTTAAGGAGGACATGTATCCCACAGAGATGTATACCCAGCCCCTCTTGAAAACTGCTCCTGAGGTCTCCTGTTCATTCTTCCGTCGTCTCTGCCTTGCACAGTTGCAGGATGTCCTTGGACCCAGACCCCTGTTCACTACTGCTCCGTGGTTCTGTGATACGAGCTCTTGGGGGCAGTGGTCTCTGCCAGGCTGACCACAGGGAAGGTCTGCTTCGGGTGCAAGGCCCCTGACACCTGCAGGTACGCACCTCCCCCTGCACTTACTGGGTGCAGAGTGTTCCCAACTGTGGCTGTCCCTCTGGCCCCTTTCCTGCCACCGTCCTGGAGATGGGAGCCACCCCTGGCGACCCAGGAGATCCGGGAGCATGGTCATCAGTTGACTCCTGCAATGGCTCAGGTGACCTCTGGAAATGTACTTGCTTGGTAAGACACAGGGACTGAGGGGATTTCAGTTTAGAACTCTAATTGCTCTCACATCGTCCTAAGAAAATACTGGATTGATTCATAGATTTGTGCTCCTTCTTCCCTGAACAACTCCGGTTGTTCAGTGGTGACCCAGCAGCACCCCCACACCCTTGCTGCCACACGCGGGGCTCGCCTGTCCGCTACCACCAGCGAAGGGACATCTGGACCAGTCAGACCAGCAGCCTGGGCTTGCAGTGCACTTTGGGGAGCAGATTAACTTATTTTTTGTATTTGACGTAGTAAAATCTTGGGATTTTTTTTTTGAGTCACTTTGATATTTTCAAATTCTACGATCTTTCTGAAGGAAATACTGGAAACATTTTAAATATGGTTATCCTCTTTCCAGAAACTGTTGAACCTAATGAGCAAGTAACACTAACTTTGCAAATCTCTAGAAAACTGGTTTATGGATCTGAGTACGAGGCTGCAGCATGGCAGCTGAGCCCTGAGGGCTCTGCCCAGAGTCTGAGGGGGAGCTTGGAGAGCTCTTTTGCGGGGATTCAGTCTTTCTGAATGGCAGCTTCAGTCCTTTGTCATGAAATGCAAAGCAGAAACAAAACAAAAATTGCCCCAACTTCTTCGGATTACTCAGCATCACCATTCCCCATCACCCATGAGGTGGCACCAGCACGGGTATCTGCAGTCAGGACATGCAACCACTGTGGGGGACCGAGTATGGCACCTGCAGCGCATGGGGAGTCTCCATCTGGCCTGTTCCATCAGGAACCACGTCGCGTGGACACCACACCTCCCCCCACCTCTTGCCCCCCCCCCCACTCAGGTCCATGCTCCTGCCACCTCTGAAGTTCTGATCTTGACGTACAAACACACAGGGTGTGTACTGCCCACCTTCCAGAACTACCGTATTTCCAGGAATTAAAGATAAGCCTGTTTTGATGGAAATTAATGCAAATGACTGTTGCCAAATTCTCAATCCTCCAAGCAGCACAGTATTGGGCATTAGTCACTAGAGTGAATGGCTGTCCCGGGCGTCCCGGTGTCCGCTGTACCCTGTTGAGATGTGAAATGCCCCGTCAGAAATTAAATACGAACTGAACTGTTGGGTGTCGGAGCTTCACACAATAGGCGGTCAGGCTCCTGTTAGGAACGCTCGGTGCTCTCACTGGTCTGGACAGACTTAAAAACTTGAAATTCCTTCTGGGGGTCACAGACTGAGCTGCAGACGTGACAACTGCCCGTCAGGGGGAAATAACATTTAAAGTGGGACGTTGTGTTTGGAAAACTGTATATGAGTATTTTTGTATTAAAAAAATTTTAAAGGCTTTTTTTCTAGACTTACTTTATATGGCATCACATTTTGAAGTTTGGGGCTTTTGCCCACTTGCCTAGCTCCTGTGGCATCTGGCACAGCCCGACATACCCCATCTCAGATGGCTGCCCCGCTCAGGCCTTGCCGGGGCCTTGGGAAGTGCAGCCCATACCAGGAACAGTAGGCTGGGTTCTCCTTTGGATAAATAATCTGATGACCAAATCCCCTTTAAAGGTGGAATTGTCGGGGGAAGGGATGGGGGGGAGACCTGTCAACATCTTGGCTGGTGCTTGGCTCAGCTCCAGGTCTCCCATCTTCTCTGATAAAGCGCCTCTGACTGGGGCTCTGAGTCAGTGTAGGGGGGTAACAGTTGTGTTGCCCCTACCAGCTCCCACCCTGAGAGGGACCAAGCCCCTGGAGCAGAGAGGATGGGCTGGCCCCAAACACCGCTCCGGGGCTTTCTTTAGAAAAGCTATATTTTAATTACTCAGATCGTTTGTACAATGAAAACAGGTGCCAGAAGACTGGTCTCAATGCTCACAACCATACAAAAGACAAATACAAAACCTGCCTGTGGCTTGTCCGGCCTGGTGTCTCCTGCTCTGGGGCATGGGCCAGGCCATCCCCACCCTGGTCTCAACTGTGCTGGGCATCACTTGGTCCCCTCAACCTTGTGGGATGGGAAGAGCATCGCACTAGCAAGGAAGAGCCCTCCCTCATGGTCAGAATTTAAGAAAAAATAAAAAAAAAGATAAAAGTCTAACAGGCAGAGCTGTCACTAAAATTAGAAGTTATAACTTTTTTGGTTAACTTTAACATTCAAAAATGTAATATTGAATCCAAAAAAGTATCTGAAATCACACAAAAGGTAACCCATATTAAAATTTAAAAAATAAGTCCAGAACACCCCGAGAAATGAACCTAAAAGCTTCAGTGGGCTGGGGCCCAGCAGACCCCGCAGCAAAGGCAAGCAGAGGTGGGTGGGCAGCCCTAGGACACGTTGGCCATGGGCTTGTATTTCTTGAAGCGCGTCCACTGGCCTGTGGCATAGTTCATCTCGAACACGGTGTCCACCAGCATGGTGGTGCTGCCCTGGCCATCGGACTTGGGCAGGTCTTCCGTGTGCTCGCTGAGCTTGATCTGGATCACGTCGCCCTGCTCCTGGCACGGGTTCTCTGTGGAGGACAGGGGCTGCTGGGTGGGGCTGGGGGAGGGTGGAGGAGCCTGTCCCTTCCCTCCCCTGTGGGGCCCTCGGCCCCCACCCCACTGGGCTGCCCATGCACACCCACCTCGGGAGCCGGCCATGAAGCCCAGGATCAGGGCCTTCTCGGGCCGTGTGACTTTGTTGGCTGTCTTGAACATCTCCTGCGCAGCAAACATCTGCTCTCTCTGCGAGTGTGGAAAGGGGGTGTGGGTACCTGGGCCCCATGGGCACCACCACTCATATCCATCTGGAGCCCATGCCACCTTCCCACGGGGCCTGGGGCCGGCCAAGGGCCCACCTACCGTGAGGGAGAGGTTCTTCTTGGGCTGCTGCTGGGCAGGGGGCTGGGTCTGTGGGGCCACCATGGCCACTGGAGGTGTCTGGGCAGCCGGGGTGACGGCTGGGGGTGTGGTGGGTGTCAAGGGGGAAGTGGGCGTCGAGGGTGCAGATGCTGCTGGGCTGGGGCCGCTGTTGTACATGGGTGCTCTCTGCTTGAACTGCGCTGGAAGCGCGGGGCTTGGGGTACTGGGCTCCTCCGGTGGCCTGCTGGCCTGTAGGCCGGCTTCCCGAGAAGATGGTGCTGTAAACAGAGGGAGATCTGGCAAAGGGCTTGCAGGGCCAGGGACCCCCCACCCCCCACCCCGCCTTGAGAAAGTGGGCGGGCTCCACCCCACCTCCCAGGCCCTGACTGCTGGTACCCTGGCTCACCCTGAGACCTCAGCTCCGTGTCCCCACAGCTGGGGCCAGAACCACAGGCCGCACTGCTAGCCTGCTGATGGGCATAAGCCCCCATACACCCCCACCTTGGAGCTAAAGACATTAGGCCCTTCCAGACAGCAGAGGAGAGGTCTGAGCCCAGGTCCCCCTGCTCACAGCCTCAGTAAGACAGGAACTGCCTTCCCTCTGGTCGCTTCTGCTCCCAGGCCCATCTCTTGGCAGGCACAGCCAAGCCCGGTGGAGCAAGAGACCGAGTCGAGGCCGTGACCCTGGATCCACCTGCCTTCAGGATCCTGGGACTGCGACAGGACCCCCTGGGGCCTGAGGCACTGTCAGCCAGACACCCCACCCCATCCCTGCAGAATGCACTCCTGTTGGGCCGTGCGAAGGGGGCACTGCTTGTTTGCCCCCAGAATGGACAGAGCAGGTGAAAACTCTGGGTTCATTCCTGGAAATTTGTGTGACCAGAAGGGTCTCCTGCCCCAAGTCAGCACCAGCAACGGTTCAGGAAGGACATGGCACAGATATCCTGACACCCCTGGATGCATGGGGGAACAGGTCTGAGGAGGACACCTCCAGGTAGGCGGCTGACCTGCAGGCGTCTCGGAGCTGGGGATGTAGGAGGAGGCCGGGACCACACTGGGCGTGGCAGGCAGGTAACTTGTGGATGGCAGCACAGGCTCATTGTTCAAGGACCCGAGTTTCTGGAACACAGTTTACAGTCCTCCTGGACGCTGGGCTCTGCTGGCTCCTCTGTGAACCTCCACCCCCAGCCCCGGGGCAGGATGGCAGGCTTGCGGTCCTAAGGGCTGGGGAAGGGGCACCTGGCTGTGCTGGACCTCCCCGCCACCGCCCATCCAGAGCTGCTTGTCTGCTTGGGGAGCTTTCCAAATCAGCCGCCTCTGAGGAAAGAAGGGCTGCCAGTCTTCCTCTGCCACGAATACCAACGACCAAGGGAAGACCCCTCCTCGTAGGAAGTGAGGAAACAGCCCCACAGCAGGAAGAAACAAAACCACTGCCCAGAAACCTGTGGCCCCATGGTCTTTCTCCAGCCTTGGCTTGCAGCCCTATCCCCATGGGCTGCACCTGCACGGTCCCCGTGGATGAGACTCCAAGAAGCAGGCTGTGCTAGGCCACTGACCCTCACCCGACAGGAGAAACCAAGTCACCGCACTGAGGAGATCGCTGAGGAGGCCCCGCAGAGAGCACACAGTGTGTGCCTGCTCTTCACGCTACTGCGATGCTCCCTGGGCCTCTGGCCAGCGCTGCCTCTCGCACCCACATCCACACACAACCCCCACGGAGCACGTTCTGTGGTTGACCACCAGGACAAGCGGGAGCACACACGGCCTACCTGCGTGGACACCAGGCCAGCCGCGTAGTCCGGGGTGGCGTTCTCCACGACAGTCTCTTCCTTGGCTGGCTTTTCCACCACTTCTGCATCTGTCGACAAAGCAAAGTCCTCGCCGGTCCCCCGACTGCACAGCACCCCACAAGCAGGCTGAGCAGACCCCCGGGGTGTGGGAGGGGCCCATGCTAGCCGCACTGAGTGTGCGCTTCACAGTCTCTGGGCAAAGAACACACTGGGCTAGTTTCAGGACAGGTCGGCCATTGTGTTGAGGTCTTGTTGAGACACAGAAGCCACTGGTGGCTTGAGAAACACAGGTCCCCACGAAAAAAGGAAGGGGTAAGTCGGGGAGAGCAGGCTATGGTGAGGGAGCCCCAAGTACGTACCCAGTGTCTTCCTCCTCCTCTTTGCCTCTCGGCCAGCACCCACCATATCCAGCTCGGAAATGTCAAGCAGCTGCCAACAGACAGGAGCCCACCCTTAGCTGTGCGGTGAGGAATGCCGGGGCCGGTCTGGGGAGGCCGCCAAGGCCGGAGGGGCGGAGCCCACCTTCACTCCCCGCTCCTTCCGCAGAGGGGTCCTCGAAGGCGGGATGGGGGTCCGGTTCCCAGCAGGGCTGAAGACACTGGGAGTGGTGGGGCTTCTGAAGGGCGCCTGCTTCGGGATGCCTTTGAGTGGGGCTGCAGAGAGGATGGTGCCCATCAGTGGCCACCTGGACGGGGCTGCCCCCGTGAGGCAGGACTTCAGGTGATGGGTTTTCTATAAGGACAGAGGCCACCCCGCCAGCATGCTCTAAATGGAGGGGGTGCTCTGCCGCCTGCTTGCCGGCCCAGCGCCCACCCCCCACTGTAAGCCTGCAGGATGCTCTGCAGGTGTGACCCTGACCCCAGGGTACTTGTTGTGTCTCTGTGGGGGGGGGGGGGGAAGAGACTTGACCACCAGTTGGCCACACGCTCAGGCATCGCATCAAAGAGCAAGGCAGGGCAGCCCAGGTGGCTCAGCGGTTTAGCACCGCCTTCAGCCCATGGTGTGATCCCTGAGACCCAGAATCGAGTCCCGCATCAGGCTCCCTGCATGGAGCCTGCTTCTCCCTCTGCCTGTGTCTCTGCCTCTCTCTCTCTCTCTCTCTCTCTCTGTCTCTCATGAATAAGTAAATAAAATCTTAAAAAAAAAAAATAAAAAAAGAGCAAGGCAATGGAAATGATGACATCACAGCCAAGCTGACATTTTTGCCAAGAACACCAACAAAAACAAAGATGCCACACGATGCTCAACCTGGCTTCCCTCTTGCACCTCTGGGCAAACAGCTCTGCTCACGGCTAGACCTTCCCACACTGTGCAGCCAGGATCACCTTCCCCTGTCCCCAACTATGTCCAAATGCAGTCGCCTGACACAGGGATGGTGTCTCCTGAACAGGGCCTGGCCCTGTCCCCCAGCCTCTGGTGCCTCCCTGGTCCTACCTCTAGGACCCCATTTGGGCACTTGTGCCCAAACCCACTCACATGCAGATCTCACACCGTGATGTGGGCCCAGGGCATGCATGGCCCCTTCCAGCACAGCCAATGGGACCCTGAACTGGATGCTGGGTCAAGGGCATAGTGACCATGCCCCTGCCCTCGGGAACCTCGCTGGGATGGGCCCTATAGGAGGGGCCCCCACAAGGCGCACAGGCCCACAGGCGCATCTGTTTTGTTTTCAGGTGACCCAGCTTCCCTGTGGTTTGGTCAGCGCTGGGCCCTGGAA